CCTCAATCAAGTCGGCTTCGTCCCACTCTACTTCCACTGGATCTTCTCAGGTTCGAAGTCCGGGAGTACCTTACTCCGGCAAGCGCCTATAACTGACCGTTTGGACTTCGGCGAACGCCTGCACGCCGTGGGCCTGACCCCCGTATCACGCGCAGTCGCTGCTTGCTCCATTCGACCAGTCCTTCTGGTACTGCACGTTTCCGGGCATCGCGACAATTTGAGGGAGCCTTTCTCCCAGTCAATTTCGGGGTTGTGCTCGCGTAGCCAATCCAACCCAATGATCACATCCTCTGGACCAATGTCCGTGACCGTAAACACTGTCTTCTTGACGTGTTCTCCTATGTGCATCTGTAGCACTGCTACTTCCGAGATGCTTCCGTCTTTGTTTAGGGTGCCGTCGATATTGTATAGCGGAATCGGTTCTTTTAATTTCCGCGTTTGCACCTTATTCTCTTCAATGAACCGCTTGTTGATAAACTTGGTGGTGGCTCCACTGTCCACCATAGCGATTATGTCCTTGTGCCGTCTTTTTCCTTGAAGTCGAACTGGGATGTGAAAGTGCTGGGACCCCTGGTCCAACTCATACACCATTGCAGTCGACAATACATCATACTTGTTACAGGATATACGCGGCCCGATGCGTGCAGCATGAAGCGCGGACCGGATCAAAAACCCTCCTCCTTCATCGCCCGATAGTGCTCGAGCTCCTCGCACATCGACTTCACCTGTGCCATTAAGTCCGCCAGCTCCGATTGCTCGGATTTCGCTGAAGCGGCACTTATACTTGCCGAGGGTGTTGTCGTGACGGGGGCGCTTGTCGCAGCCTGGGTGGAGCCCGAGGCAACCGTAGCCCGTGCGTCGGCGCGTTTTGTGTAAGGTTTGTCCTTACAATTGGGGCACTCAAATCGTCGGTACCCTTGTTTCCCACAGCCGAAGCATGTGCCGGGGAAGTTGCCTTTTCCGACGGCCGCATTGATGCTGGCCGAAGCTGCGTGTGACTGGGGTGCACCACCACGTGCCCCACCACGTCCTCGACCTCGGGCCGAGAAGAAATTGTTCAGCTCGGGCCGACGAGCCCGGCTGATGTCGAGGATTTGCTCGACCTCAGTGGCGCGCTTCTCAGCTGCTTGCCACGTGGTGAAGGTTTCGAGCTCGATCTTCCGGTACACGCGGGAGGGGATGCCGCTCAGGTACTTGTCGCGTAGTTCCAGGTCCCCATACCCGGAACGGTCCGCCAGACCCTTGAACAGCGCGGAGAATTCCGCGGCAGTGCGTTTTTCGCGGACCGATTTGTCCGCGCAGAGCTTCGCTAGCTCTACTTGTGCCGCCGCCTCGTCGTCGAGATTTCCGAAGCGGGCCCTGAAGGCGGCGGCAAAGGCCGCTTCGTTTGCGAACGGGGTCGTAGCCCCTTGCACACCCACCTGCACCGATGCGAGCTGGGCAAAATAGGGAGTGGCCCAGGCGCGGGCATCTCCATCGAGCAGGCTGAGTGCGACCTGCACCTTAAGCTCGATGGTGGTCAACGACGTGTTGACCAGCCAGTAGATGCGCAACTGCGACAGGAACCGGTTGCATTCGATGACTGTTTTGCCATCGTATCGGAGTGGGAGAAGGAGCTTCAAAGTCTCCTTGTCGGGGGTGGCTGCAGGGGACGACATTATCGGCGTCGGGGGGGACGGAGGACGCTGCGGGGGCGGAGGCGGCTGTGGTGGCCCTCCGCTGGTCGAACTTCGAGAGGAGCGAGTGCTCGAGCGGCCTCTCGGTGGAGTCAGCGGTGAAGGCGCCGAAGGAAGTTCGGTGGGGGGGTCACGTACGTCAGGGACTGCTGACGCGGGGGCGAGCGCTGTCGGCGAGGCGGACCCAGTAGAATCCTCGGACTCGGGCTCCGAGATTCCTTCTTCACCTGTACCCTCCTCAGGCTCAGGCTCTGGCGCAGGGTCTGGAGGGAGATCTCCTCGAGTTTGACTGGACTCGGCGACAGTTTGGGGAAGGCGGGAGGTAGGGGAGACAGGGCGAGAGTGCCGCGAGGCAGATCGAGATGCGAGGGTGCTTCGGGGTCCGAGCGGGTGTTGCGCTCGTCGGATCGCTTTGTAGCGAGGGTAATCCTCCTCGATCGATCGGGGTGTCCGATTTGGGCACGGTTGCTGCTCGCAACGATAGAGGACTGTCTCAGGGCCGTCTGGGATGTAGACGTCGATGAGGTCCTGGGAGTCGAATGCGTGGATCTGGCCTTGGCAGGCAGCCACGTTGGATGGGGGGGAGGACGGGGAGGTGCGCGTACTACAATGGCCGTGCTATGCTAGCTTACGCTACGGCGCCCAAGAAGACACTAGGGTTCGCAGTTCACGTGGGG